GATGCAGAAAGGAATGGCTAGCCAGCACCATACATTAGAAAGCTCTGCCAGGCTGCCTCCGAGAGGCAGGGCCCAGGAGCTGAGACATATACCCATAGACATAAACAGCAAACTGAACAGCAAATAATAATTACCCCTCCTACCTTCCTCCATGTGATTAGAATCATGGAATCAGAGACTATTAGGTCTAGAAGGGACCTTAGATATTCCTCACCCACAAAAAGGTTGGGAATTTACATTTTTAAGTATTCCCCGTTGTCCCTAACCCCCTATAGACGTAGCTCCTCTTCTAAGCAGAGCCAGGCTCTGGAATGGGCGTCCACATAGTGTGAGCTCCTCCTGATGCCTCTCCTGCCTCGTCTAATACTGTGCTGTACACTCTACTCTTCAGGCCTCTCCCTCCCTATTTTAGCCAATGCTTCCAACCCTCATTGTCCATGTATGTGGTTATGTAGCCTGATGGCATGGAGGAGGCCAAGCCCATCCTCACGACCAGGGGTGGGGAACCTGCAGCCTGGAGGCCACATGTGGCCCTCTAGGTCCTCAAATGCAGCCCTTTGACTGAATCCAAACATCACAGAACTGGCCACCTGTGGTCTCCCCACTCCTGGTCACAATTGTACCATTGTCACTTCTTCCACCCTTCAAGGCTAGAATTGGAAAGAACACTGAATTTAGAATCAAAGAACTTGAAACTACAGAATCCAAAATGTTATTCTGAGCAAGTCACAAACTCTCTGAGGCTCGGTTTCCTCATGGGAGCAAGGCAGGGCCTCTCTAGTTCTAAATCCTATGTTCTTATGATTCTAGTTCAGGAAAAAAAAAAGTTAGGAGGGGAAGGTTGGGGACCCTTGGCTTGTCACCTCAACCTGCTTTCTCTCCATATCAAATGTTTAATTAGAGACTTGCCTCATTATGTTACTTCTGCTGTTGAGTTTTGACCTAGGACATCTTCATTTCAATATAATTGATTTCCTTTGGGATTTTGTGTATTTTACCTTATGCTTTCAAAAATGTTATTCTGAAAAAGGTCATCATTCATCAGGCCACCAGAGGGGACCTTGGCATACAAAAAGGTTAAGAACCCCCTATACCAAGGGCTGGTGGAGAAGTTCCTGTCCTGAGGAGGTTTGGGAGTGGACATTGGCAATGAGTAGCATCCACTTCTAAATGTAGAGATTTAAAACAAGGAGCTCCCATGTCTTCACACAAAAGCCTTGGAACAGAAAACAGTCAGAGAAAGAAGGAAAGTTATAACCTGACTCCTTTTGGTCCTATGACTTTGAAATCCACAAAGGACCCCAAAAGACCTGTACTTCTTTGTTGAATGATAGAAACTGAATTTTCTCTAGATTTGGTTGTTCTGGGGTGGGAGGATGAGGGAGAACCCACTAGATTTGCAAATACTGTCCAATGACAAATGCATTTCCAAAGGAGCCTGATTTGACAAAGTTTCATGTAGTGTAAGTGACACTCTGAAGGTTTAGGTGTGGGGCCCTTTTATTTTTCCTTTTTGGAAAGAGTGCTTTCTCTATAGTCCTTTGTAGCCTTCAGACTCTCTGAAATCTGTGAAAAACTAAATTTAAAAACTAGTAATTTCCCTGATCTTATTGTAAAGTCAGTCATTTATTTCTTATTATAAAGTCAGTCACTTCTCAGCAACTGATAAAAACTGAGATGACACAATCCTTTGTTTCTCTCTTCTTTTGTCAAATTCAAAACAAAAAAAAACCAGAAGTAAATTCAATTAGAAAATTCATAGCTATTGTTTGAATAGACTACACTTTCAATTTCAGCAGGTATATTTCATTTTATGAATGAATACTAAGCAAGTGTACTTCATTTTATGAACAAATCAAAATATACCTAATACATTTTTATGTTCTTAAAACAATAAATCAACCTTTAAATTTGCATAGGATGCAAAAAAGTAAATTTCAATTTCCCTTTTTCTTCTTGTACTGCTACTCTCCAGAAGAAAAAGGGGGCACTTAGTAGCAAGTTGTATGTGAAGGAGAAAATAATGGCCTGAATTTAAATCCTGGGTCTGCCGCTAACTTGCTGTGTGACCAGCGATGGCTCACATCACCTCTCTGCATCTCCGTCTATATATAGAATGGAGGAACTGATCTAGATGGCTTCCAAGGTCTTTTCTAGTTCTAAAAATATAACATGTTTCCACATATGTACTTTTTTTTGTAAAAATTTCTTTTTACCCCAATCTATGGGAAAAAAAGTTTTCCATGGCTTCAAAATTTCTGGAAATCTTATGCATTCATTTCCAGGGTTAATTAATTTTTAATTAAGTATTTCTGCCTTAAATGAAACTACAAACACATCAAAATATTTGCTTGGCTAAATTTCTTGATGTGAAAGGATTTCATGACATTGCAAAGTAACTTGTGGACATTCAAGCATATTTTCATGTACTAATTGATCACAATCAATTTATCATAATCAAGTTAGCTCTCTCTGAATACAACTTAGTTTGGGGAATAGAAATATCAAAAGAGAATTTGCTGTTTGTTCTTCTCTGTCATGGACATTAGCTGAATATGACCATTATTCTTGTTTTTTTGGGGTTTTTTTTGGTCAGGTAATTGGGGTTAAGTGACTTGTCCAGAGTCACAGGTAGTGTTATGTGTCTGAGGCTGAATTCGAACTCAGGTCCTGACTCCAGGGCCGGTGCTCTATCCACTGCACTACCTAGCTGCCCCTTTGACCATTATTCTTGATAAAGATACCCCTGAAACATAAATACATCAACCAGTAGCAGTCCGAGTATATGCACGAATTATGCCTTCTAATTATGCACAAAGATAAATATAACCACATAGAGATTTTCTCCTGCTAGATAAATGCCCTCTGCAAAAGTGCACCCTTTTCTTTACAACATCTATGCAGATTCATATCTAGACCTCAAAGAGATGAACAATTGCATACATATCCAAGCATACACCTCCAAATATACAAGGATAAATGAAGATATATGAGGATGCTGACAAGCTGAATGACATTCAGAGGAGAGCAACCAGAAGGAATAGGGGCCTGAAGACCCTACTTCACACTAATAGACTGTGGCAATAGCCTGAGGAAGAGAATACTTAGGTGAAAATATGATAGATGCCTTCAAGTATCTGAAAGATTGTCATGTGGAAGAAAGACTGGGTTGGTCTTGCTTGACCCAAGGGAAAGAACCAGGACCAGTGGATAGAAGTTACAAGGAGATAGAGTCTGGTTAGATCACTTATCAATTAGAGGGGAATGGGTTCCCTTAGTGGGCAATGAACCTCCTGTCACTGGAAGTGTTGAAGCAGATGCTGGATGACCATTTTTCAAGGATGCTGCAAAAGATACTAATGCTTTAGCTAAGATTGGAATAGATGTAACATCACTTCTCTTATTAATGCTGATGATATGCACAGAAAGAAGAATATATATATATATGTGTGTATATATATATATATATATACACATACATACATATATGTGTGTGCACACACAAACAGCCATGTACCAATATACCTGCTTCAGAGGTTTGTTGTTGTTCATTTGTTTCAGTTGTGTCCAACTCTTTGTGATCCCATTTGGGGTTTTCTTGGCAAAGATACTGGAGTGGGTTGCCATTTCCTTCTCCAGTTCTTTTTATGGATGAGGAAACTGAAGCAAACAGGATTAAGGGACTTGCCCAGAGTCACAAAGCTAGTGAGTATCTGAGGTCAAATTTGAATTCGGGTCTTCCTAACTCCAGCCCAGGGCTCTATCTACTGTGCTACCTAACTGCCCCACTTTAGAGGTTGAGTGCAAGTAAATATGCTGGCTAGAGAGTATGCCTCTAATATATAGCTCCCTGACATGTGGCAGGAAGATGGGTATCTATCAGGAGAAATCTTTTTTTTTTTTTAATTATTATTCCCATAGATACAGTCAGGAGTGCACGTACGCAGGCACATGCACATATCCACCTATGCACACAAATCATGGAGCTCTCATGCAGAATAGGTGTGGGGTAATCTGGACAAGTAGGTGGGAGAAGGTGGAGGTTGGATTTATGTAGCAAGAGGTAGGAGCAAGAGTGGAGGAAATGATGAATGATGTACTAATGAATATACTTGGAGATGTAGTCCCACAGACACAAATCTGAGCTTTGAGTCTGCCCAGCCCTTCCTCATTGGCCACCATCACCATATCTCACTGGAATTCCATCCTCAGACCAGCAGCATCTTTTCTGGAGAAAATTTTTTCTGCTGCAGTGCCCAAAAACCAAGAAGTTACTATGCCAACTGCTTCAGTATCTACAAATTAAGGATGAAGTAAAGGTACAGACTGAGGGGGAAACAATCACTTTTCTTTTTTTTTACATGCACAATAATATTAAATATATTTACACATTAGTCATGTTGTAAAAGAAGAATCAGAACAAAAGGGAAAAAACATGAGAAAGAAAAAACAAAAAAAAATGAAAATAGCATGTTTCCATCTGCATTCAGACTCCGTAATTCTTTCTCTGGATGTGAATTAGCACTTTCCATCATGAGTCTTTTGGAATTGTCTAACATCATTGTATTGCTGGGAAGAGGTAAGTTTATCAAAGTTGATCATGCACAATGTTGTTACAGTGTATAATGTTCTCCTGGTTCTGCTCACTTTACTCAGCATCAGTTCATGTAAGTTTTTCCAGGTTTTTCTGAAATCTGCCTGTTCATCATTTCTTATGGCCCAATAGTATTCCATTACATTCATATACCACAACTTGTTCAGTCATTCCCCAATTGATGGGCACCTCCTCAATTTCCCATTCTTTGCCACTACAAAAAGAGCTGCTATAAATATTTTTGTACATGTGGGTCCTTTTCCCTTTTTTATGATCTCTTTGGGATACAGACCTAGTAGTGGTATTGTTGGATCAAAGGGTATGCACAGTTTTATAGCATAGCTCCAAATTGCTCTCCAGAATGGTTAGATCAGTTCACAACTCCACCAGCAATGTGTTAGTGTTCCAATTTTTCCACATCTTCTCCAACATTTATCATTTTCCTTTTCTGTCATATTAGCTAATCCAATAAGTGTGAGGAGGTACCTCAGAGAACAATCACTTTTCTCCAGAAAAGTCAGATGGGAGTGAGTACTGAAAGGACTGAAGGTCTAGGACAAATCCAAGAGGTTAAGGCTGGACCCTGCAGGTCAGATCACAGAGTGTTCTTGACTCTCGATGATTTCTGTCCAGACAAAGGTCAACAGCTGGTGGCCTTATTATCCGTTATGTTGAATAACTCCCGCATAAGGGGGGTGGCAAAGGGATGGATGTCTTCAATTTTGAGTAGATGCTCGGTGTGCTGGGCATTGATGCTTCGGAGCTCTGTGAGAATGGCTATGATCTTCAGAAACAAAAAACTGTAGGAGAGGTGGGGGGGCAGGGAAGGGAAGAGGGGGACAATGGGTGAAGGAAAGAGAGGGCATAGATAAAAAATTTAGGAAATGCTGTGAAATTTGTGTTTGGTTTCTCCTTCCCCACCCCACCCTCATCCTTTGTCTTAGGGGTCCAATGATGCCCTGGTACCATTGAGGGTAGATTTAGGGAGGGAAACACGTGTTATAGGGGACGGTTTCATTTCTCTGAGCAATAGTCGAGAGTCATTGGATAAAAAGCTCTTGGTTATAGTTAAGAGTTTGTATAGCTCTCCTTTCCTTTCCTTCAGGGCAAACCCAGGTGGACTGTGTTTTTTAAAAGTTTATTTTGCGGCAGCTAGGGGGCACAGTGGATACAGCACCAGCCTTGGAGTTAGGAGGAACTAAGTTCAAATCCTGCCTCAGACACTTGACACTTAACTAGCTGTGTGACCCTGGGCAAGTCACTTAACCCCATTGCCTAGTCAAAAAGAAACAAAAAACAAAAACAAAAAAAGTTTATTTTATTTTTAATTTATGGAATAGAACAAGCATTTCCACAACATAGTACAATAAAAAAAGATGATTGAGATTCTTTAAGTTTAGGGCAACAGCCAAGGCCCAGCCCATGGGGCATCCATGGCAAGCGCACCTAACCTTGTGATGGCTTGTTTCTGGAAGCTGAATCAAGCCTGGTCAACAGCGTCAGATATGAGAGGCAGCGTGGTGCAACGAACAGAAAGCACTGCACTTGGAATCAGGAAGGGCTGCATTCAATCCCACTTCAGACACTTACCACCTGTGTGATCCCTGGCAAGTCACTTTTGGCCTCAGTTTCCCCATCTGTGAAATGAAGGGGTTGGGCATGGCCTCTAAGGCTTCTACTAATTCTAACTCTATGATCCTATGATGTGTTCCTGACATTTGACAAACTACTAAGTTAAGAGTAAAACTCCATAATTCAGTGTTTCCAGAATCTGTAATTTCACCTGTGTAAGAAGACCCATCATGAATGCGGGTCCTAATCCATCTTCCTTTTAGTGGACAGTTACATGAATTGCTGTGGCCGTGCCTCTGGTGATGAGTGAGGCTGGTCTGTGAAAAGCAGGCATACGGTCAGCCCATCGCCAGACCTCTTCCGATGTGATCAGGCCTGACCAATTCTGCTTGCTCAACTTCCAAGAATCCCACGTTACATCCTTGCCATGATGAGGCACGGAAACTCCAGTGGTTCCCTACTTCCTACCACATCAAATCTAAGCTCTTCCATTTGACTTTAGGGGCCTCCATCTCTGGCCCTATCCTAGCTCTACCATTTTTCCACTGTTCCCAACATGCACCCACTGCTCCAGAAACAAGTGGCACTCATATGTCCTTACATTTCTTGACTTCTGTGGCCTTGTTCTTTGTTCCTCCACCTGAAATTCCTCCTCCTCTTTACTGCCCAGCTAGCTCCTCTGCATCTTCCAAAGCAGGCCAGGAGACATGTCCTAACTACTCTAGGTCTTACTGACCTTCCTGTGCCCTGACCTACCACAGGATTTAATGTTTACACCACACAATTTACACTAATCATCTTACATTGCTTCTTTTTGTTTCTTATGTTACTCTTGTCTCTCCAACAAGACTATAAGCTTCTAAAGGGCAAGTTTCTTTGTCTATGTCTTCTATGGCACCTAGTACAGTGTTGAAAATGTAGTAGGCGTTGATATAGCTTGATACGGCTTGAGAACTTGGATAGCTAGTAGAGTTCCATTCCTTTAGCATTTGGCACATTATGACAAGACTAGTTATTTCCCTGAGGCACTTTCTTTCCTCCCACCCACAACATGGGGAGGCTTTACATAAGAAGAAGACAAAGCTGCCCATGGGATCCAAATGGCCCCAGCTTTGTTGGTATCTGGTCATCTATGGGCATAAAATTCCTAGCCATTTGGAATCTAGGGCCATGGAACTTGTTGGATTTCTGAAGACCACTTGAGATAGTCACCATGTCCTTTACCACTGATGACCAAAACATCTCCATATTTAGATGGGGGGGAGGGAGTGTTAGATCAGAATTAATTGCATTTTGTTAACCATTCAATGACTTTTTAGTCACTCATTTCCTCCCAATATCAAACCTGAATTGAGAGTGTTGGTGTTAGAGTTACCTTCAAAACTCATCCAATAGGATCATAGATTTAGAGGTCATGGAGTCCAATTGTCTGATTTTTATACATGAGAACACTCCAGAGAAGTTTGACGCCTTGCCTAGGGTCACCCAACTAGTAAGTGTCTAAGGCAAGATTTGAACCCAGGTCTCCATTGCTCCAAGTCTGGTGCTCTATCCACTATACCATACTATCCCACTTAATACATGTGGACCTAAGTAACCTTACACAAGTGGTTATCAAACATCTTCATCCTGTTAGGGTTATGTTTTTGCTGGGGAACTATATCTCATTCCATTTTTCCACACTCATAACTCAGCCAATTGTTTTCAATTTCCATCTTCTGCAAGATCCCAAACTAGTCTTGTTCAGTATTGTCTTTCACATGAGTAGAAGAGAGATAAGAGCAGCCCAGGCTAAGCAAGTGAGTGGTCTCACAAATCCAAGTCTTTTCCTTGCTCCTGGTGCATAAGCAGCAACATACTCACACTCCAACACACATTAATTAATCCTCCATGCCTGTCTCAGCTCCCTCCCCTCCAGTTCTTACAACTTTCTTGGTTCCCAATTGTCAGCCAGTCACTAAGCATTTATTAAACACCTACTATGTCAGGCACTGTTCTGTTGGGGATACAAAGAAAGGCAAAAGACAGTCCCTGTTCACAAGGAGCTACAGTCTAATGAAAAAGACAACAGGCAAATAACTTAGTAAAAACAAGAATGTGTGTGTGTGTGTGTGTGTTCAATAAAGATAAATTGGAGGTAATCTATAGAGAGAAGGTACAAGCATTAAGGAGAATCAGGAAAGACTTCTTGTTGAAGGTGAGATTTTTAGCTGGTGCTTGAAGAAAGTCAGGGAAGCTGTGAGAGAGAAATAAGTAGGGAGAGAACTCTAGCCATGGGGGACAGTCAGTGAAAATGCTTGCAATCAAGAGGTATAGTGCCTTCTGCAAGGAACAGCAAGGTAACCAGTGTCACTGGATTGAAACGTACATGGGAGTAAGGTATAAGAATATAGGAAAGGTAGGAGATGACCAGGTCCTGGAGGGCTCTGAATGACAAACAAAAGAATTTAGATTTGACACTGGAGGCAATAGGCAGCCACTGGAGTTTATTGAAGAGGGAGTGTAACATGGTCAGATATGTGCTTTAGGAAGGTGAATTTGACAGCTGAGTGGAGGATGAACTGGAGTTGAGGAAGACTTGAGGCAGGCAGGCCCACCAGCAGGCTACTGCAATAGTCTGATCATGAGGTGATGAGGGCCTGCAGGGTGAAGGCCATGGCAGAAGAGAGAAGGCTCATACATGAGAGATTTTACAAAAGTAAAACCGACAGGACTTGGCATTAGACTGGATGGGGGGGCAAAGGAGAGTGAGGAGTTGAGGATGATGCTTAGGTTATGAGCCTGCATGAGTGTGGTACACTGAACAATAATAGGAAAGTTAAGAAGGGTGTGGGAGTTGAAGGGAAAGACAGTGAGTTTTGTTTTGGATATGCAGAGTTTAAGATGTCCATGGAACATCCAGTTTGAGATGCTGTCTGGAAGTTTTGGAGAGAGTTTAGGGCTGGATAAGTAAATCAGAAAATCATTAGCATAGAGACAATTGAATCCCTAGGAACTGATGAGATCACCAAGAGAAATACCATAGAGGAGAAAAGAAGAGAGCCCCAGAGAAAGCCTTGAGGGGCATCCCCAGGTAGCAGGCATGACCTGGATCACCATTGCTGCTCACTGTCCAACCAGCAATGGAGTCTAAAAAGGAGCAGACAACCAGGAGAAAGCTGTGCCTAGAAAATCTAGAAAGAAGAAAGTATCAAGAAGAAAAGTGTGACCAGCAAAAACCCAAACTCTCACATCTTGCCTATTCCCTTCACTCACCTAGCTATTACCTTAGCTCAAGCACTCATCATCTCTTGCCTGGTTTTTGCAACATCTTCCTAATTGGTCCCCATGCCCAGTCTCCCTTCACTCCAGCCTATCCTATGCTACTGCCAAAGTCCCTCCCAAACTACCTTGTATTTAATTATGGTACTTTGTTATTCCTTCTGTATATACTTATGTATGTACTTGTTACAACCCCCATTTGAAAGGAGGGATTGTTTCATTCTATGTACATGCATTTGTAGTGCTCAATACAGTGCCAGGCACACAGTAAGTGCTTAATAAATGCTTTCTGTTTGATTGATTTCTCCCAGTCAGTCCCTAGTAATCTTCCCCCATAGATGCGGAGAACAGCATCCAATGTGAAGCAGTCCATAAACCCACTCCCCTGAAATGAAGCCGAGATGTTTCACTCTGGGGGCCTTTTCTACTGGGAGGCAGCGCTGGCCGCCCTCACTCACCGGTTCTCTGGCTGAGGTCGCTTGCATTCTATGTAGGCTTTCAGTGCCATGGTGAATCTCTGCTGCAGCTGATCCACGACACAATGTTGGACCACACCGGGTCGATCTAAGGAAAGAGCAGGAGCGAGGGAAATCCCTGGGGCGTTAAGTTGGAGAAACTGCTCCCTTTGCCCAAGCTCAGCACCTTTCCCCCTAGCATGATAGGGTAACTTTGTCTCATGAAATAAAGGGCTTTGATATTAATGAAGGAAGAGAGAGATATGTGGACTGTGCTTCCAATTACCCTTTGACTTTGCAACAGATTCTTCTTTGAGCAATAGAAGCCCAGGGAGGAACTTCTTTAGCCCCTCTCTTGGGGAGACCCACTCCCAGAAAAACCCAAGCTCAGGGCATTTCCGTAGAGGGAAGCTCTCTCTCCTTGTGGGCTCTTGGGGACCACAGGGAGACACAATACCATGGCTGTATGATTTGGGGGCTCTGATATAGGCAGTCCAAAGTTGTATAAGATGTGTGTGTGCGTGTATGTCAGAGAAGAGAGAGAAGAGACAGTCTTAAATATTTTGTATATGTGTGTGTATATGCATGTGTATGTGTCTGGTGTTTCTATGTGTACATACATTGATATATACATATATGGAGAGAGAGAGAAGAGAGAGGAAAGATACTCAGATCTAACATATAATAGGACTGCCTGTCTCTTATAGAGAGAGAGGGAGAGACAGAGAGAGGCTAAAGACAGAGACAAGACAGAAAAGAGACCACCTAAGTGGTTGGCTAACAGGACCTTTCACTGGAGAGAATGATGGTAGTTTCCCTCAAGTTTGAACCTGCCTTGGAGTAGGTTGCAGCTGAGATTGAAGGCAAGGAGCAGCGTCGGGCTACTGTACCTGGGGAGAACAGGGAGATGGCCTGAATTAGCACATACTCTTCATCATGTAGCTGCAGCTTCTTCAACATGTAGTGTAATTTCAGTACAGGATCCGTTAGATAGTGCTTTAAGTTCCCTGCAGAGTCCAGGAAGAGAGCAGGTGTCAGCCAAGGTAGGGGTGGAGGCTCTCTAATCATTCAACCCTCCTGAAGTAGCAGCCCTGACCATATAACTGAGTGAGCACCTTATTTCCAAGAATAGGCTTCCCAAAGAGCCCAGGCTCTCACAATATCTCACCAGAGGAGGACCTTCTTTGTCAGAGACTTTGGTTTTGTTTTTTTTGGTTTCTTGGTTGATTTTTTGTTTGTTTGTTTTTTTTATTGTTGTTGGGTTTGGGTTTTTTGTTTTTTGTTGGTTTTTTTTGGTGAGGCAATTGGGGTTAAGTGACTTACCCAGAGTCACACAGCTAGTAAGTGTTATGTATCTGAAGCTGAACTTGAACTCAGGTCCTCCTGATTCCAGGGCCGGAGCTCTATCCACTGTGCCACCTAGCTGCCGCTTTCCCAGACTTTGACACCTGAGATTGTGAGCCCCTTTCCTTCCACTCTGTATATTTCTTTTTTTTTTTAAGGCAATTGAGGCTAAGTGACTTGCCCAGGGTCACACAGCTAGTAAGTGTCAAGTGTTTGGTCTGAGGCCAGATTTGAACGCAGGTCCTCCTGACTTCAGGGCCGGTGCTCTATCCTTGTGCCACCTAGCTGCCCCTACTCGGTATATTTCTTCTTCTCCCTCTTCACCCTTTCTAAGTTCTCTGGGGGGGGTCAGTCAGTCAATAAACATTTATTAAGTGCCTACTATGTGCCAGGCACTGTGTTAGGTGCTAGGGATACAAAAAGAAATTTTTTTTAAAGTAAAAGACAGTCCTTGCCTTCAAGGACCTTACAATCGAATGGGGGAAGACAATACACAAATAAATATATGTAAACAAACCATATACAGGATAAATAGGGAATAATTAACAGAGGGAAGGCACTGGAATTAAGAGGAGTTGGGAAAAGCTTACTGTAGAAAGGGAGATTCTAGTTGGGGCCTGAAGAAAACCAGAGAGGTCAGTTAGGTGAACTCATGTAAAATTGTAAGGCATGAAGACAGGGCAAAAGGCATTTTTCATCCTGGGTACAAAAATATAGAGGGTGCTGACTGGTATTAGTTTGGATTTAGAGGACCTGGGTTCAGATCCTGCTTATGATGCTCACTGCCTGTGTGACCTTGGGAAGGTCACAACTTCCCTAGCTTCAGTTCTGTCATCCATAAAAGGAGAGAGGTGAACTGGACAGCTTCTGAGGTCCTTTCAAGCTCTACATCTACGATCCCATAAGCATTTGCAGTCCTTCACCAGTGTAGAAACAACCAAACTTAACACTTACTTAATAAGAATAATTAAAATAGGAAACTACAGAGAGCTCACTGCTGACAAATAGGTAAAAACCAGCTCTCCAGAAGAAAAAAATATATACCCACGGCACACTTTTCAGTTTAATCTGCATTATCGACATTTTCTCCAGTACTTCATTATGTCTAGCCAATCAACAAAACAATAAACTAAGCCTTACTTAATGTGTAGCGTTTGCCAATTTCCAAAATGCAAATTCTAACACTGATAATTTAACAACAGGCTCTTGAGTGTGAGCCTTCTCTGGCACCCCTGTGGCCAGGGAAGGCATGACTGATAGCCGTACCCCAGGGAACTATTCCCCTGGCTGACATCCACTCCCCACGCCCTCTAGCAGTCTCCCCATTAGCGTTTGAAGGTGCGCTTCACACTGCGGTCCCCAATCATGCTTTGCTGCTACTTGTCCCGAGAGCAGAAATAGTTAGTTCTGGTTCTATACTCATGTAATGATAGGAGAAGACCAATCACGTGCCTGTAGGATCATCTAAGTAGTAGAAAAATCGACCAAAATCCCAGGTTCCAGTTTCTGCATTGAACACCTTGTTGAAGCGCAGTAGGCACAGCTCAATCATGGACCCTTTCAATAGATAAATCTGGTCCTCAATAGACAATTCTCTGAGAGAAGGGAGGGAGAAAGTAGCCCATTAACTGTTGAAACGTATGTGACGCTGAAAAAATATCAGATATTCTTATTGTTATGGGTTTATACTTGATATGCCCAACTAGATTATAAGCTTTTTTTTTTTTGGTGAGGCAATTGGGGTTAAGTGACTTGCCCAGGGTCACACAGCTAGTAAGTGTCATGTGTGTGAGGCCGAATTTGAACTCAGGTCCTCCTAACTCCGAGGCCGGAGCTTTATCCGCTATACCACCTAGCTGCCCCTGATTATAAGCTTTTTAAGGGTAGTTTGTGGCTCATACTTTTTTGTATCTGCCACAGAACCTAAAGGTTTATACAAGGTAAGAGTTCAATACTATAAAACATTTCTCAACATCTGTTGTGTATGGAGCACTGAGCTACAAAAATTTAGTCTACAAACTTATAATCCAGAAGCAATTGTTTATTGAGTAATTAAACCCTTCTCATATCGTATGGTGCCCTTCCTACTCCAGCTAGGTGGCTCAGTGGATAGAGCACTGAGCCTAGAGTCAGGAAGGCCTGAATTCAAATCTGACCTCCCACACTTAATAGCTGTGTGACCCTGGTTACTTAACTTCTGTCTGCCTCAGTTTCCTCAACTATAAAATGGGGATAATGATAGCACTTATCTCCCAGGATTGTTGTAAGGAACAAATGAAATAATGATTGTGAAGGTCTTAGCACAGTGCCTGGCACTATGTAAATAGTAGCTATTGTTATTATTACTCTATCATCTCCTCCTCTCTAAACTAAATGGATATTCCCAATGATGCAGGCTATCATTGGTGGACTTCTTTGGGGGGCTGTGGCAATAGTTTATCTCAAGAATAGGCTTCTCAGAGTTAGTCCAGAGCTGATCAGAAGATGGCATAGCTGGGGAGAGGAGCTCAAATGGCCTGGCCACCTAAGAATAAGGGAGGTCCCTTGTAACTCTATGTGGGGCTACCCCGAAGAAAGTCAGTGTGCCTTTCTCACCACTCCTGAAAAGGTAGAGAGGATACACCCTGTCAGAATGTTTTAAGGGGTAGGGGATATGCTCTGGAATCTCTCCTCTATAATTTCTTCCCTTGACAACAAATTTTCATTAGAACACAGCCCTTCCATTAACCATATTGGCTGTCATTTAAGGTACCACCCCATTTGTGGAATAAGGCTCACACACGGAAGTGATAAAGGAATGTCCAGTGACCCAACTAGTCCAGTGTGGCACCAGTTCTTAAACACTGGGGTGTGAGGATGAACCTCCAGGCCACTTTGAGCTTACAGATCAGGGGTCCTTTGGAGAATCTGTTCCTCGATCAAGGTAGTTTCTGTTCTGGAAGGTCCTAAAAGTGTCAAGAAACTACATTCTGGAGTGAAGGAGGAGGCAGAGAAGAGGAAGTCTTGGGAGGGAACCCCAGGTCAGTCTGGAAGTTCCTGAAATTTCCTTAGTGTGGTTCAGAGCCTTACTCAGGGTTCTAATGATGTCCTTCTCCTCTGAGTCCGCTGAATCTCTGGGTCAAGTCCAGACCTCCAGTAGCAATGGTCCTTGGACATTGGATCTGAGAGTTGGAAGGGCCCTCTGAGGCCATTTATTCCAGTTCTTTCTCACAACACCCCCATCAAATGGTCATCTAGCTTTTGTTTGAGGTTCTTCAATGATTGGCAACTCACTACCATCTCAACTTGCATTATGTAATACCAAGCAATTAATCAATTCCATAGGGGGAAAACTCAGGTAAATTAGCTCAACTTTGTCAATTCAGTCAAAAGGGTGGTTGATTCAGTAGGGCTATGTAGACATAGCTTATGTGGCTCTCTGGTGTAGAGATAGCACAAGAAAATCGCTGGTATCACTGTGGCAATTCTCTCCATTTCTCTTTCTTTTTAACAACCTAGTATATTGTCCAATCAGCTTCCCATTCGCTAGCAGGAATTCTCATCTCCCAATCTTTTCTGAGCGTGTTGGAGGAAACTAGGCAAAGGATGACCATAGGAGCACAGGGAGTAAATCCAGCGCAGTTTAGCACAGACCAGCTTAGCTCAGCCTAGTCTCCTATCTCCAACAGCAGACCAGAAATGGGGGAAAATTTCCAGACCACCAAAGGAGCACAATTCAAATCAGCTTCCATTTCCCCACTGATCCATCTGTGTCCCTGACCACTAGGCATAGACATGTACATAACCTGTTACCCATGGGTGCCCAAAACGGTGACAAGGGACTTAATAGGTACAGGACAGGATAGAAAATGGATTCATCTCAAAAGAATCTATTTCTATTCTATTATTAAAGTCAAAGCCTTTTCCATTCAACTCCAAAGGATATATATGTGTTCTTACCCAAGAACCCAAGACCTGCTGTTCAAGTATAAGGAAATCAAGCAGCTATCCATAGCCTTAACCTCCATTGCCAAACACAGTATCCCCTCCCCAAGAGTGGTGGAAAGTGACCCCCAGGTTCTCATCATTCCCAAGCAAACTGCTGAAAGGTCTCTGAGGTTCATCCCAGGTCCAGGAGGTCATTGCCTCTGTTACTGGCAACAGAGTCCTGGATTTGGAATTGGAAGACCTGGATTCCAATCCTAACTCTGCTACTTACTCCCTATGTAACTGTGGGGAAGTCATTTACCATTTGAGGGCCTCAGTCTCACCTGTATGATCAAGGAATGGATTAGAGGATTTCTAAGGTCACCTCCTTTAATAGTCCATAAACTAAGTTGTCTTGGAGCCTCCTCCCTTTCCTCATGCCCCTAGTCATTGGCTGACTAGAGAGGTTAAGCAGAGTGTTGGCGGCAACATCCTATGAATTTAGAACACCTGATGGTAGCTTGCTTGCTCAGTGCTAGGTAATCAACATTCCCTAGCCCAGTCTTCCCAATCCTCCCTTAGGGACAAGTTGCCTGTGATCTTTTGTCATGAGGGCGACTCTGCTCAGAGCTCCTTTCCAAATGTCTTCTACTCTCTGAATGACACCAAGTGGTCACAAATTTCCTTCCTCTTCATGGGAAAAATCCGAATCTTAGCTGGCCAAAAACAAGTAGAGAACCTTGAGGATATTGATATCTCATCCACATTCAGAGGAAGGAAGACCCACCTTAGAACCCTTTAATCTCTGACCTTACTAATTTCTCTAGCCTTTGGCATAGTCACATGGTACTTGACACACAGTGCTTAATAAATATTTGTTGACCACCTGACTGATGCCATTTTTTTTGCCCCTTCCTATACCATCTTTCCCCAATATATCCCCATATCCTACCGGAAGCAGGGAATGACTTTGGCAAAATTGATGATGCCTTTAAACATGTAGGTTGCGGTGTTGGCCATGTAGGGCAAAAAGGAAATGATCATTTTCCCTGACTTATCTTCTGAGGCTCTGTAGTTCCAGATGCTGCCATCTTCACACTGTAGCCGCAGAGACATAGGGCAGCAATGTTTGGTGATACTGTTCCACTTGACAGTGGCTTCCTCTGAACTGGCAGTGGACTCGGGAATCTTAGGGTCACTGCTCTGTGCTTCAGGCACCTGGGAAACAGATCATTACAGTGGAAGAGAAGAAAAGAGAAGGGAGGGGAGGGGAGGAAAAGTATGTAAGGAGAGGAAGCAGAGGAAAGGAAGCAAGGACATTTATGCCCATCTGTCACATTACACAGATATATACCAACCACATTGAATGTTAGCTGCTAGTACAAAGATGACTCTAGATGAGTATGCACATATTGCACATCTCTGCAGGCACACTGTATGAAGGTATTTCTGTGTAGGAAAAAAGATAGTATGGTGCAGTCCAAAGTGTTTTTGACTAAGAATCAGGAAATCTGGGATTAAATCCCGGTAACTAATAGCTATATGAGCAACTAGATGACTTGAAGTCAGGAAGATCTGAGTTCAAAACCAGCCTCAGACACTTAACTAGCTGGGTGATCCTAAGGAGGTCAACTTCTGACTACCTCAATTTCTTTATCTGTAAAATAGGGCAAATAATGGCACCTACCTCCTAGGATTGTTGTATGGATCAAATGAGATAGCACATGAAAATGCTTTCCAAGTATTAAAGCACTACATAAATACTAGTTATCATGATCATCATCATCATGATTACTTTATGTCTTTGAGTCTCATTTTCATCATCTGTGAAATGAGGAAACTTAATCCCTAAGATCCCTTTACTTCTCACTTCTTAGCCCCAACAAGGGGCTATCACTCTGGACCATACTTTGTCATGTTCTCAGAGCAAAGAAATAAACCATAAAGAAGCCTATGACTACTAAACTTACAGGTCCAGAGAAGCCTGACAGTACATTAAGCATATCACATGCCCATAGCCCTAAGGGAGGAGGGAGAATGGGGTGTCTTGATTTTTACTTCATTTACAGCTTAGACCCAGTTCCATATCACTTGCCTGGGTTGGGGGGATGAAGAACAAGGTTTGCTAATAGTACAATGAAGGATGTAATTCTGAAGCAGCAAACGCTTAATTCTCTTACCCAGACGTTCTTAAAATGGGAGAATGTGGCATCAAAGGTTTTCTTCTGAGCCTCCAAGAGCTCCATGATCATCTTCTGCTGCTCTTCTGTTAACTCCTTGACTTCCAGAGCCTGAGTCTCCAACTGTTCTCTCTTCTTTCTCTTGATCAGGGCTCTTCTCTGCTCCACCGCTGCATCAGACATGATCACTGCACAAAAGGGAGAAGAGGAGCTAGCTTAGGGAAAATCTATTCCCTTAACCCTTGAATACCACCAGGAGCAAATGCCCTGAGTTATTGAGGTTGGGATCATTCTCCTTTCCCCAGGCCACCCCAGCTACATGTGCTAAGCATGTGCTAAGCTCAGGAATAATTACATATTATCACCAGCTCACCCTCCTCTGAACTCAGAAAGATTGTGGATTCCATAGAGGAAAATCTAAATTACCTCAGTTATCTGAGCTAGAGGGAGCTATAGGTGGTGACTTGAGTTTGGGGTGGCAATTGAAGAGAAGAAGATCTAACTGGCTTACTTAAAGCAAGAGAAGAGTACAAGGAAGTTCCTTTATTGGTTTCTGGCTTGGAAGCACTCTGTACTCTGAATCACCAAGGTCATGGAGATGTTGACCTCTAAGAGTTTCCACCATTGTTTTTCTGAGTCCCACAGTTCTCAGTACTGTTCCAGCAGAGGAAGGCATGAGTTGCACCCTCCCCTGGTCATTTTCTGCTGAGCACAGATCTATGGGGTCTGCACTGCATTGAGGCAACAAGTTGGTGTATTCAGAGTGCCTCAGTGCCTGGCACAGTGCTTTGTGCATAATAAATTCTCAATAAATATTTGCTGATTGACTGAATGTGTTGAGAGCTCAGTAAGATTAGGTGCTGGTAAAAAATAGGGCAAAGATCATGGTACCACCAGTATTGATCTCAAATTGATTTGCATAGTAACCAAAGGCTTT